ACAGGGTTTTAGGTTTTAACAGGTCAATATCCCTTAAGTACAAATTAGATAATTCTTTGCAGTTAATCAATTACAGAGTTAAGAAAAATATTTTTCCTCTAATTTGATGGTAAATATTTTTATTTTTAAGAAAATATGTGTTTCCTTTAAAGTATAACAATTTTTTTTATTCATTTAAAAATTGCAATGAAAATAATTAAAATTATTCATCAGCTTACATACCAAGTTGTCCAATCGGTATTATAGGCACCAGGTCCAATATGCTCAGCACTGCTTGGTATAAGCCTGAATAGTTAAGTGTGGGAAATATAGACAAGCGTACACTATCCCTTTGTCTCAGACCATAGCTCTCTACAGGAATGTTGGGGACATCTTTTAAAACACTGAAAATTTCAACAAAATTTGACAAGCGAAATCCACTCTCACACTTTGTTAATAATTTTAATTAGCATACAACTCATAAAACATAAGAGGTTAATGTTTTTTAAAAAAGTATCCCCAAAAATAATATATAATCTATGTTCTATTAATGTCTTATTCTGTTTGAAATAATTTGCATATCACAGTGAGTCCACAAGATAATAAGTGACTTTGTTCTCTGCACATATGAGAAAAGTGAACCAACCTCAGAAGTGTTTGTGAAAAGTATTTGAGAGTATTAGCAATATCAACTCCAGTTGGTAGTGGTGCTACATTGTTGACAATCTTATAGTGGTATTCTTTCAAGTTGCGGATTTTGGAAGTGACTGCAGAAAATTTTAAAAAATATCATAAATCAGTAAATTCAAAATTGGATACAGATCTGAAAAAGACTGTTGAACACTAATCTTAATTCAGATAAGTGGAGGATGGGAACAGAAATGGTATGGACAATTCTGCATCGTAATTTAAAATAATTTTTTTTTAAAAATTGCAATAGTTTTTACAAACTCAACCTTGTACCTAATAATACTACCATATACATATTAAATGAACTTAAAAACTTAACACAAGTATTTAAAAATTCATGTTAAATTTAATCATTACTATTATAGATAAAATTATGACCAATGATAAAAAATAAATTTGAATATTAATCTCGGTCTAAACAACTGGTACTTACAAGTAGCAGCCCTTGTGGCCATTTTAGCTTATACTTTAATTGTCTTATGTGTGATAGCTTTTAAAGGGGGGTACATTGATTCTAGTCCAGCACTTGCACCATTCATCCTGTTAAAAAAAGTAGCAAATTATGTAAATGAATTGTAAGTCTAATAAAAAAATGTTTGGTAAGTTAAAGTAGGCAAAGTGAAATGGTAGGTCTATATTTTATCATTTTGATAAATTATGTTGTGTTGCTTAACTATAAGTTGTTAAGGCCTACGACGCTTAATATTTACTATACATTTAGGCTTCGGGCTAGGATAATAAGGGGGAGAGACTGCAATCAGGTTAGGTAAAAGGAAATGAGTGAAACAAAGTATGGGGAAACCTGAAAAAAGGGACGCAACAAAACAACAAATATGTCCGCAAGAAGCCTTCTTCAGCAAAAAACAACAATATAAATTTTTTTTAAAAAGCTGCATGGTAATATCTGAGAGGACAGCAAGATAAGATTAGCATTATTGGATGTTATTGTTCTAATCATACTAATGTCAATATATATATATATAAGCATATAAGGCTGGGGTCTCAAACTCACAGACCGCGGGCCATTTGTGGCCCGCAAGAAGATATTTTGTGGCCCGCTATATGGCAGCAAAGTTTAGTGTTAATGCGGCCCGTGCGTTTTCCCCATTCTCATATTTATAATGTGACTCTCCGCGACAGTTTCAGTCGAATCTCACCGACAAGTCGACTTCTGATTTTTATTATGTTTGTATATATTTCTATGTTGACGATAATGATAAGAACCGTTCTAAAATCGGACTAAAAGTTTTTATTTTATAGCATTATATGAGACAAACTTGGTCAGAGTGCGGTTTTGAGAAAAGTTTATAAAAGTCAGTTTTTAGGTAATGCACAACCATAATTGTGTAAATCGTAGCAATCTGATACAGTATTAAAGAATTCCTATTAAAATTACTGCTAGTGTTTACAAGTGAGGGACATTTCGAGCCTGTCAGCTTGGTCACTTTCAAAATATGGATAGTCAAATAGACCTTTTCTATGATAAAAATCAAAATTCATTTTTCCTACAATAGTTTATTCCTTCGAATCAATAATTCATAAATATGGCCTGCTCCTGCCGAATTCGAATGTTTGAACATGTTTTAGCGTTTAAAGCCTTCATGGAGAAGGATCGATTGGTTGTTCCTGTACTATGTAATCCCAAATAGCTCATGGACATGGCTTTTCTTGTTTACATTACACAGGAGCTAAATGTACTCAACAAGAAGTTACAAGACCAGGGGTAGCTTTTCTGCGTTGCCTATAAAAATGTTCGGGCATTCTGCACAAAACTTGTGTTATGCTTCTCAGAGAAACAGCTGTCATTTTCCAACATCTAAAGTGCTCATGAACTCGGGCACACCATGCAGTAGTAAGTATACTGATGCCATTGCAAAGCTACAGGAAGAATTCGATCACATGTTTTTAGACTTCAAAACACACACAGCTACTTTTCAGCTTTTTCTGACCCTTTCTCCTTTAATGTGGAAGATGCCCCCCCTCCATTTTTTATTTGGTGTGGGGGGTCGCGCTTCAAATGGAGCTGATTGATCTTCAGTGAAATTTTAAGTTCAGGGGGGTGCTTGGAAAAACAGATAAGCATGGACAATTTATGAGAACCTTGCCCTCCACCTTCACTGAGATTTCCAGGTTGTTCAAGCGGATCATATGACTTTTTGGGAGTACCTATCTGTATGAAAAGCTCTTTTCCACAATGAACTTTAACAAGTCAAAATTCAGGGTCATACTTACTGATGAGCATCTTCAAGCTATAGGCCTACAGAAGATCTCAGTTGTTTCCCACTCAAGCCAAATGTTGCTCAGCTGTGTAAGAAGAAGCGCTGCCAAGTCTCTGGCAACAATGAGTAGGAGGAAGAAAGTGAAGCCTAGTTCTTGAGCACCCTTAATGTTTTTTTGTTATAAATAAGGGTTGTGCAGATTGTAACAGTTGTACTTTAATGAATTTGTAATAGCTTTTTTTGTGGACTACTTGATGCGGCCCAGTCTAAATCAGACTCTACCTCCTGCGGCCCCAGTTGATTTGAGTTTGAGACCCTTGATATAAGCCTAAGGTGTATAAGTAGGCCTATAAATAATATCTTAATATCTTTTTATGAGATAGTGAGCAATTGCCGAAAAGAATTAAGTAGATCCTAGCCTATCATTTCCATTGACCACCCTCTTAATATTATATACAATTTCTAGCAGCCCCCCTCCCCCCTTTCCACGATAAAACTGAATAAAATAAAAAAAACAAGCAAATTTCAAGCAAACAGCCAGGATTAATTAAAAAAAAAATTGCTAATTATTGTAGGCAAAACTTACATTTTAGTTTTTTAATAATCTATGCCAATTTTGTAAATTTTAAAAGCAGAAATTGCAACAAATAAGAATTCATTAAAAAATAATAAATTCTATATTTCATTGCTCTTGACCACCATCTTCCTCATAAACAGGCAATAACTGATAACAAAATAATAAAACTACCTTGACCCCTTTGCGTTATATTATGAATATGAGCACGAACTCTATCATCATGCATTTATGGATAGATATATATGAATATAGTTGACTATGACGTATGACACGGCCGCCTTCTTGGTTGCCACGACCCGTGAACTTTTATAATTCACTGTCACTAAAACTAACTTGAACCCTAAACTAAATGTATCCCTAAACCTAACCTGAACCCTAAATGACTAAATGTATCCCTCTAAAACACTAAATGAATGGCACAAATTCTCTACAGAGTCTGCATTAGCCAAATCATAGTCATAGGGCTATAATAATTATAGAGATTAGATTAATTTGATTATTTTGAATGCACTGCAGACACCAAGCCAACTCACAGTCACACAATACTGTCAATACTCTGTAGTCTATAGAGTATAGTCCGCGACTCACACCGCGCACTCACAGGTCTGACACTGACAGAGGGTGAGTGTCAGACTCAAAATTCAAGAAATTTTTTTGCATACTTCCATCATAGCCATAGTAAATCATTCCATGAGAACCTTAAAATAATGATAACTTAAATAATTCACTTTAATACTAATCTGTACGACAGTACGAGAAAATTCACGAATTTTACCCAAAACAAAAGTGTACAGTGTGAGGTGTACTGCGCTCACGCATTGACCTATTTTCATGTTCTGTTGTGTCGATTAATTCAGACCACCCCATTGGTTTTTAGGGGTATTGGGTTATCCCATTCAGATTAACAGCTATCCCTCTGAAACAACTTTTTGTCATTGCATAAAATGTGTCTTTTTAATGTTATTTGTATCGAATATAAGTAGGGCTTATGTCCAAACGGATAAAATATTAACCTATATTCTGATATCTGACAGAAGTCTTTCTGTTACAATGTTGTCATTTAAAATATGATTTTCAGACAGGCGCGTGTAAGTAACATTTTCAATTACACACGAGTAGTCTGAAGTCTGAGGCTTAATAACTTATTGCCTTGATTCATTAAAATACATCTGCATCCTCTTATAAATTTGTGTATACGATAGATAATTTTTATAACTTAACCCTTTTTTTTAAATTAAAAAATGCCTAAAAATTATTTTTAAAAAAAAAATGCCTAATAAAAATTAAAAGTTAATTTCAATTTCAGGCGAATGCCAGATAGAACTTGTGAAATTATTGTAGCTTTCAACATTCTCAATGTGTAAATGCATTGGTATGTGCATATTTTTCATTAATATGCCTTTTATTTAATTAATAAATATCAATAATATTTTAATCATGCTTGTCAAAGTGTTAAAAATTTTCAAATGCATATACTTAAATACTTAGATGAAACGTTTTTTTTGACAGATCTTGACCTGCATTTAAAATCTGGTATATAACTAAATCTTGTTTTTCTGTGCCGCTGCTTCGCCGGTGGAAGATAAGTAAAGTAATAAAAATCATCAAAGAATGTCTAGCTTTCCGAAACCTTTAAAGATGTTTCTGGTGTCAGTAACTGTGCTGCCACAAAAGGAAGGAATAGATCTACCTAGATTCATCCAGAAACTAGCAAATCTTCTCGCTGATTATTCAACTGCAACCCGTGTTGTGTACAAATTCAAAGTAAGTTCTTTATTAAATTGGCCTAGTTGCTTCATTCTCGCTTTTCTTAGATCAGCACAAAATTTTTTGTAACCACTTATGGTGATTACACTCCTGCGTGCCGATACCCGTGCCATAATTGTATTATCATTTCAATGTGTGTGCATATAATATATATGATTCGTCATGTACAATATTTGGTATTAACAGGGTCTACTTGCTAATTTTGCTCTAAGTTACAGTTAAGGCTTAAACTTGAAGCTACTAAACTAAAGTTAACTAAACTTAAACTTAAACTATTTTACTATTTATTTATAATTTATAGTCTACTACTAACTAGGCCCAACTTAAAGTTTAAAGTTATCTAATTAACACTAATTTAGTTTTAGTTAATTTCTCTGTCACTAGTGACTAGGTATAGTCTTGGGTAAAAGTGCAGTTCAGGTGCGTATATTATTTCTTAGCGCATTTCGTATTTTAAAATTTTTTTATCATGTAAACTTAGGTGTATTCTTTAATAATTTAATACAGGCAGTTATAGTTAACTAATTCTGAATTATTAATCGCATCTTTTCTTTTTATTTTACTTCTAAAGAGTCTTTAAACATCCCCCAACCAAAGTGACACAGCCCCCATTTGTTTGTATTTTTCTTTTTACGCTATGCCAGATTTTTAGCCACCTATAAGTTAGTATGCTAAATGAAATTTTCAAACTAAGCATGTTCACAAAAAAGAATGAAATACTAGATTTTTCATTACGCACAAGCCCCCCTCCCCCTCCTTTCTTTTTTTCTCTCTCAGAGAGCTCGGAATATAGGGGTTGTCCTTTGAAGTCGGGAGGGGGGGGGGATTAGAAGTGGATCACTGAGTAAGCAGTGGACACACACGTCATTGTCCTGGACCTGGTGTGAAGCTGATCACCCTGAAGGCTGCTATTACACTGTCCGTGATTGGTCAGCTCTAATTTGAGCACCCCCTCCTCTTTTTTCGTATGCAAATGCGCTTATTACTGGTGACTGATTTGCGCTGAGTAAAGTGAGGGCTAGTGATGATTTTTTTTATATTATAAGACGGACTCGTTTTTGTTTTGCGGTATTGTTGGTTGTAGGATCATTTTGTTTAAAATGGCAGGACGACTAAGAAACAATAACTAAAATTGTTGATGCAACAGGCATTTTTAATGGTGCAGCATTTGGTTTATACGCGCACCTTGTGGGGCAACAAATAACGTTAATACAACTGGAATTTCTCCTAAGGCGCTCGTAACAATTGCAATGTGGCTTGTAAGCTGGGTTCGTATGCAGAGGCGTAGCTAGGTGGGGGCAGGGGGGGACAGATGTCCCCGGGCGCCAGCTAGTTAGGGGCGCCAAAATGTGCTTTGATATTATTTTATTGATGAAAATAATGGGTTTGAGAGTTGAAAAAAAAAAAGGGGGCGCTAAAAATGGATCTTGTCCCCGGGCGCAAAACACCCTCGCTACGCCACTGTTCGTATGTCAAGTATGTGAGCTCCCCATAATTATCGGGATCTGCATATCATCCGAAACGGGATCTCACCCGAAACAGGGTCTCACCGTAACCGGTATCCCGCCAGGATCGGTAACCCACTGGATCGGGATCCCACGGGATCAGGATCTCACTAGAATCAAAATCCTATCGGGATCGGAATCTCACCGAAATGGGATCACACCAGATTGAGATATCATTTAGTTTGGGATAACACCGGAAACGGATCTCACCGGGATCGGTATCTTACCCGGATCGGGATCCCACCATGACCAGGATTCTATCGGAATCACATCGGCGGATCGGGTTCGGGATCCCATCATGATCCTTCCGGGTGACATCGGAAAACGGGAAAAATGAAAGGTTTACATAAGTTATTTTACTTGTTTTTAATAGGAGACAAATTAATTATTATTATTTTTACTATATTGTTGTCGTTTTGTTGTTGACATTTCCTTTAATAACAATGTGAACTAAAAGGACGTAGCAGATGTTTTTTTCTGAATGCAGCCCCAGACAACTCCGGTTATGGTTGATAGTAAAGTTATAAAATAAATAGATCATTTATTTTAACAAGATTCATCCAATTGGGCAACTTTTATAAAGTATCTTTAAAGACAGAAGAGTTATCCTTGATTTACCACAATGGCTCCGTAAAACATGAAAGATTCATAAAAATGTACTTTTTTTATCTCGTAAAATTTGTTAAATTGTTGTGTTGTATTCCAATAAAAAGATGGTATATAACTTTTAAAATACTTTTTATAAAGAATTAACATAAGTTTACACTGGAAAATAAGAGATTCAAACAGAAATAATATACGCACCTGAACTGCACTTTTACCTAGTCTTGCCCTTTTAGGGCTTAGTCTTAGATTTAGTTTTAGTACTGTTGTTGTTTGTTAATTTTTAGTTGATAGTTGGAACGTTACCCTAGCGACATTACCACCGTGTAGGTGACCTGTGCCGCAAGGCAGGGGTAACGCACGGAATCTGCGTTAAGGCGAGCACGATTACATGGCCCCCCACCAAGTGCAATCGACAAAAACTTTTTTTTTAACGCAGAAACAGGTTGGGACATGATTACAGTTGCCGTATGGATATGAGGTGAAGGCGTGTGGCAACCTTTCACCGATGATTTTAACTATGCAGTATTGAGGGTACTGCTCCTAGGCAATCTCTCTCTCCCATCTACGGTGCGAATTAGTCCTGTCGTAGAATAACCATAAAACCCTATTAGAGGGCGTCGGTTAAAAAAACTTCGCGTCTCCCTGGAGTGGGAAGGGGGGACTTAGAGACGTTAAATATATCCACTCCAAACCCCTAGAAAGTCCGGCCCGGTTGCTGCGTGAGCAGCAACAGCAACCCGGCTGGCCAGGTGTTTCTTCTCTGGGGCTGCCACACTCACCGGCCAGTCGAGTGGAGGTCGGGTGTGGCGGTCTTAGGGGCGGAACGTCCCTGGCGTGCCGCTTCGCGGCCCGATTGGAATAAATACCACTGGGGAAGTGGTTGAGGGCCGATCTGGTTGGCGGGGTGGTGTGTCGGGGGGGACCATATGAGCCTCGGCTCGGCGTCCGCTGATTTTCTTAAGTTAATTAGTTAGTTGATAGTTGTAGTCTTACTCGACTCTTAGTCTTGCAGCTTTAACATATGGTCTAAATTCTAATTATAGGTCCTACTAACCTTAGTGGAAATAAGCTAATTAGTTAAGAGTAAGAGCTAAATTAAATTGATGATTAGGTTTATTGTAGGCACCTTGTCCCTATATAAAAGTGTAACAATGGACACTGAAATGTTGAATACTTTTTATAAATTAAACACATACGTACGGAAACATTCAAAGGCGAATGGTGGAATTAAATTCAAATTTATCACTATGCTAAATATTATTAATAGCCTTATCATGTTTTTATTATTTTTTACCTTTAACAAAACCTTACTTTTTTGCCTAATAAATTTGATATTCATAGAATCCTTTTAAAATGTAAAAAGTAGCCAGCTAACACATAAAGTCTATTATGTATTATGCCTAATCATGCCTAATGAAATAACAGAATGAAATGACAATGAATGGGCCTAATGTAATAATGGTTTGGATTTCTGTTTGGATCTATCTTTTTAGCTTACACTTTCTATTGATATATTTATCATATATGTCTTTGACCCTGTTGTTCATGGTGGAAAAAATTTACTCCATACAAGGCCATACTTAAATGTTTAAATTGTCATTAAATTAGGTAGTCATTTTCACTTCACTCATCTTAAATGATGAAGACAATTTCCTGAATTTTAATGAAGTAGATTGACATTATCTAAAACTTCATTCAAATTTACTTTATAAAAAGCATAAGTATATGTGCATCTTGTGTTTATACTTTAAAATTTGTTAATTGGTTGATAGATGAACCTACATAACTCTCTCTCCTCACTTTCGCCTGACGGCTTTACTTTCTCCCATACCCTCTCATCAGTGCCGCCACACGAGTTCTGGAGACCCCTGCCACGTTTAGATTTTGTGTCCCCTGCTTTCAAAGTTTACATTTTTTCTACCCGCAGTTGCTCTGCCTTTCCTACACTCTCCCCTTACTCTCTCTCACTTGCCCATCCAGCCCATCCAGTTGCCCAACTTATCATCCATTAACTATCTTTGCATTCTCTCACTTAACCCTACCATATCACCCCCAGGCTCTCCCTTAGACATTTATCCTTTGACCCCCTTACCCCGACATCACCTTTAACCCTTTTGCTCCCTACCCAATGTTCCTCAGTGTTTCATAATGCAAAGCTAGGAGTGGAGTTCTTAAATTATTGCAAGCTCAAAAAACTTCTATACACCTATCAGACCTGCTAACCATTCCGATTTTGTCGGAATTATACAGATTTTTTACCCCTCATTCCAACCTTCCGACAAACCCCTTAAAATTTCGTTTTTTATAATTTTATAATTTTTCACCTGTCATAAAAATCCGAAAGCAGCAAAAAAAAAAAAAAAAAAAAAAAAAAAAAAAAATATATATATATATATCGGGTAAGACAGGAATTGTTGCATTTATTTTTACGAAGTGTCTACAAATCCGGCGACAGGATGAATAAGTGAATATGTTCTCGAGATATTCGTCTGGCCATTATATATTTGACCAAATCACATGACCAGCGTAACAAAGTTGAGCGAGGTATTTGTCCGTCAGCTTTGTCATATGACCGCTAATTGTCTATCAGAGTTTGCAGTACCGGGTACTTCATTTCAACAAATTCAAGATAGTCTGGACATTTACATGAAAAAGAAATCTATTCTACAAAAGAAATACTAGAACCATTCTGGTATATATATTATATTATATATATAATGAACGATTGTTTAAAAGTGACAATGTTTTTTATAAAGTGTGACATGCCCACCAGATGAATATCTCCCGCACTATTTGTCCTGATGTATAGACACTGCCTTGTTTTTATCGAAGCTTACCGCGATCTTCAAATCGTTCTTCAATCATCAATTGATTCGATCGTGATTCATCCTTTTTACAAGGCTAAAAAATAATTCAGACTTTTTTTTTGTTAAAGCTTTTCTTAATTAAATCGTTAAATCTATTGAAAGTAGTGGGTACAATGGTATTAATAAACATTTTAACCCCCAATAAACCATACAGCTGCAGCTAAAACTAAAATTAAAAGTAATCCATGTCTAATTAAAAGTTTCTTTGCTAAGGAATCCGATCATTTTAATGCCAGAGTCAAAGAAATGTTTCCAGACTCGCAGATTGCTAGAGATCGTGAATAAAAATTACAGGGCAAGCATGAAAGTTGATACTCTTTCTAACTTGCTTGTAACTAAAATCAATTGCAATGCTAACCTTCATTTGTCCAAAGAGCTGTTGGACATGTGCCAAAAGGCCTCTAGGTATATGCTGGAAAACTGAACTCTTAGCAGCCTGAGTACATATGTAAATAAAATGGATCTTCTGTCCTGTACTGTATAAAAACATTTCCAGTAACATTTTTCTCATGTTATGTGGACTCTTCTAAGACAACTGGAGGGTTGGCGGCCCTCCTTCCCCCCTGCATGCAACCTCCCTAAAGATTTTTTTAGGCAGGTTGACAGGTCTGCCCTAGATTTCCTATAAACTCATTTAACTTATGCCTCCAAATTCTCCCTTTGGCATCTAATTTCCTGTGATCACTGGGATTTTTTATACCATCCTTGATTGTAATTTTTCTCAGCTAGGATTTTTTTGTTATTACTCCATTCTGTTGTAGCTAATTCTGATTCTCATTTAGGATGGCTCGGCAAGGACAAAGGAAAAAAAAATTCTTTTGACTTCCAAAGCTATCTTTCACCCTGAAACTGACATTTGTCCTGCTTAGACATGAGTTGTAACTAGTACAGTTAAAGACTAAAAATATGATTAATTTAACAAAATAAAATGAGTAAAACAAAGTAGGGTTAAACCTGAAAAAATAAATGCAACAAAACAGCGAACGTGTCGGCAGAAAGCCTTCGTCAGCGAACAAAACAACAGAAAAAACGGTATACAAATAAAAATAAGAAATAGTACTTAGCTGGTAAGTAGTATCTGTGGGCAGCAATATTATTTTGTACTAACCTGATTGCAGTCTCTCCCCTTATTACCCCTAATTTAACAAAAGATCAATTACATCTGATATCAAGGCATAAAGTAATAAGACAACTAAAATAATATATCATTTATCCAAATTAGCATCACAGTAATTTTTTTTTTCAAAAGTATGCTTCACAGACAAAGAGTTCTAATGTGACCACAAATAATTGTGAATTTTTCAGACACCCATGGTCCCTAAAGGATTTTGAATAAATGGTTGCCTTACTGTTTCAGCTGAAACTAACTTTTCCCCACTGCGATTCATTTTTCCATACTATTTTAAGATCAATTCCTCAGCTTTGATTTTTATTCTTCCCATCACTATCAAATGTATTGCTTAACAGTTGTTTCTAAATTAAGTACCTCTCTTCCTTAAAGTTTCCTTACAAACCATACAAAAAATATATACCTTTAAAAAAAAATGCCTGTATATACTTATTTGTGAGAGATGTTAAAATGTTTTTTCTCTCATCATGGCTTTCAGGTGCTTGCTGTTTTAGTTAATTTTTTTATGACATTAATTTCAAGAGTCTCAAACTTACTTACGAAGCATTTTTTAAAAAAGTTTCATGACTCATTTATTTAATGGTCTCCAAGCAATCAGAATGCTGCAAATTTGTATTTAAAATAAACAATATAATTGTGTCTGCAGCGTGGACATTTTTATTTTAATTATCCAGGCTTTAGTCTTGTTAGACAGTCCGAAGAATTAATAATTTATATTCATTCATTATCTGCCACCAAAATGTATGGAGTGTGAACAGAGGCATACTTTGACTGAATGCAGCCTGGGAAACTCCTAAAATTTCTTCTCTCTAACAAACACTTATGTGATTTATCTAAATTTTTAAATAAGCCCCAAAAGTGTTGCCAGGGTTGTTGCCCCCCTTTGCCACATCCTAGTTAAGCCATTGAGTTTTAAAGTATGTTTGTCAAAACTTTATTGTTGTAATGATGGAAAGCCTTTGAAATGGCCTGCTTGAGAAATTTTGACTATTTGTGTAAGTGTAAAAATTAAAGCATGTTGAGGTAAACATATTTTAAAAAAAATATTAATAGACATAGTCATTGAAATGAAACATGTTGTTGGATACAAGGGAGCACAAAAGGGGGTGGCACTTGTCCATTATCACACCAACGGGAGTATACTTGTAGAATTAGCTCTATATAAGCACAGAAATGTTAAAACTTAAATGAAGTTGATAAGGTATTAATAAGATGGTATGAAAGAAACTCTCGAAACCAAAGTAATGGGGCTGAGAACTTGGAGGAGGAAGGGAGGCTAAAATAGAACATGCTGTCAAGAAAATATTGTAATTAGAACACCCACTCAGGATATGAGCTGGATTTAGTGCATTTTTTAACAATAGCTCTGTGTGTCTGATATTCCAGAATTCTTTATCTGTTATGAAAAAAGCTGATATTCTATCAGACTATTAATTTAGAGTTTCAAAAACAGAAACTTGGTACAGAAGCAGATAAGACAGGATTACTTCTCTTTAAAAGTTTTAGAATAGCTAGTGAAGTGTTTTTATAGAGGAAATCATACTAAGGTGTTGGCTATGCTTTAAAGAAAGTGCAGATTCTTGATTTGTCAAATTCAAGATGATATGAAGAAACATACATTTCCAACTTTCTCAACAAGTTTCCAGACATCACATTATCACTCACCAGCAATCTCTTTGTTCAAAACTTTGTAGGTAATAGCTTAAATTCTTCTCATACCAAGAAATGAATTACACATTACTCAACCTATCAATAATGATAATAATTTTGACTGAACTGAATAAAAAACTTTAATAAAAATTTTTTTTTTTTTTTACAAAACTAACAATAATAATTTTTCTCCTCTCTATTAGTCAAACTGTATTTTAATTAAAGGTCACCTTTAGATGTTTGATTGATGCAACCTAGAAACAATTATGAGTTTATTTGAAGTTGGTGATTTATGGCACCTATTTCTTGGGAAACTATAAAGTTAATTTTAAACCCTGGTAACCTTAATTGCGAACGTAAACGTTATGGGATCTAAATTTTGACAATTTCTTTTCTTCACACATTTTGGACTGATAAGCTTAATGGCTATTTTGACTCAGGCAACCATTTTTTGTTCCAGAATAAAATTCTTGGTTACTTTGTGTTGTTTATTTATGCCATCCTGTTGTCCTAATATACATTTAAATCTTTGTGTTTGTTTGGGATTTATGAGTTCTTTAGATTTATCTCCCCTATTTAAATTTGAAGTCTTTTATGTAATATTGATTGATTACTATTTTTAAAAATCTCAACTTAAAGGAGCGAGACACAACTAGTTTAAAGCTGTTGTACTCAGAAGCATTAGTTATCTCTATTATTCATTCAGTTGTATGGTTATCCAGACTGGCGTATTATATACAGTTATTATTATTATTAATTATTTTTTTTATTTACTTATTTATTTACTTTTTTAGGTATCTGGAGAGTCTAGAATACTTTCCGGTAAGCCTTTATTATATGTTCATAATTTATATATGCTCATTTATGCAAATATTGTTTATGGAAATTTTTTTTTTTATTTGTTCAATTTCATTATTTTATTTTCATTTTATAATTTAAAAAACCAATAACATTGCCCGTATTGCATCCAGACATAGGTCCTTAAAACATTAATTATATTATTATTCAAGCGCCATTCTGATAGCTTATAAACTTGTCTGCTCCTAAAGATTTTCTCTTTTGTGGTGTATACATATTCCTGCAGTATACTTGAAATACTAATTTTAAAAATTCTTCTTTGATGTTCATTTATCAATGACCTTACCTTCCTGGGTAGACTTTGATGAATTGCATGCAGCATGTTCACTTTCAAAGAGATGGCTGAAGCAGATAAATTGAGCAATAAGTATTTTCAGGTTTAATTTCTTTAAAGGATGGACAGTGGCAAAATTTAACAATAAAGTTTTTCTTAATTACATTTTAATGTTACATCTTCTTGATTAATCGAATAAATTTTTTTCATGTACCCAAAATAATAATGTGGCTGTCCAGCTTGTTTTTCAGGCCAGCTTTAAAATCATCTTTAGAAATAATGAGTTCTCTTAATTAAAATCATACAAATTAATGTATGATAATTCAGCTGTATTAGACCATGATGACTTTCTGTGTTTCATCATAATTAACAAGCAAATGTTTAGATTTAATTCGAAATTGTAGCTAAAAGCATTTTCTGATTTTATTTCTTAAAGTTTTTGGCTGAAAGTTGAGTAAATTTAATAAGTGTTATGTGAGAAAACTTACAGCAAATGTGTCCCAAATGAGTGACACAAATATTTCATAAATAATGTGTTCAATAACCAAACACAAACTTGTTATTGATCCTTTCTTTTTAATACTATAATTTTTTATTAGGACAGTTACATGTCTCTTACTAATTTATTTCTAATATCTATGAGAAATTATTTTTCTTTTGATTATTTATGTTTTGCAATTTGATAATTGTCAAGCTGAAATGTAATTCTGTCAGTGGATGATGACTTGCTAACTTTTGCTATTTATGCTAAGTAGGAAATATATCTCACTTTGTCATTGTCATGTTTAACCTACAGGTAATAAAAAAAAATAGAGATAAGAAAACAGTTATTTATAAATTAAAATTAGGACTTGAGTTGATGTGGAAAATTTATTTTTCTTAAAATGTATTACAACTTTATATATATATATATTCTATATTCTATATGAAGAAAAAAGTATATATATATATATATATATATATATACTTTTTTCTTCATATCAGGTGTCTTATAATTTTTAATATTATTTAATGTTATTGTTTTTTCAAAGAGTTAATTCATTTACATTGTTTTTGTTTTTTTGGCAACAATTTTTATTTCCTAAGACTATTTTAACTGTTTCCGTATATTTAAACTTGTCATTTAAGTTGTCCAAGCATCCAACATCATTGGCCTGGAGCGAACAATTGGAGGTCTGTGGAGATTAGGAGCTGTTGATGTAGAATGTCAGCCCATTGTCAGCTATGAAAACTTTGCTCGTGGTATCAAAGTTTCTGATCATCTAACCAAGCCTAACACTGGTGGTCTTGCCAAAGAGGGTCTTTACTGGCTAGAATTTGATATTGAGTATGATGGTAAGTGGCTGTTATGGATAATTTAGGACATCATATATATGGAGGATGTATATACAGATATGTGCACACACAAAATTGGATGTAATATAATAAAATAATATGTATTTTTAATGAATTATTAAAGAAGTCTTAGTGCCTTTTTAGTCATGTTATTTTATTGTGCCAGGCAAAAGCACAGATGAATTGGTCACTATCTGGAGGAAAGAAGCAGAGGCGGTGCTTACATCAAGGCTCAAAGATGGCACATCTATAGAACTCTATAAAGCTGTCGCCCAGAGAAAGGTTGGTTTGAGAGAAGCATCTTTTAAGAAAAACTTCTGAAAATTAATAACCCTTTTTATTTTTAAACATATAAATTAAATCAGTTTGGAAAATCTAATGGTGAGGAAATTTGTACTTTAAAGCTCCATAATGTGTTACGTTGCCTGTATTTTTTTAAAGTTAAATTTGTTTGGTTTTTGTGTGGTCTATTATTATTGTCTTAAAGTCATAGCAGTTGGTATGTAATAATAATAAGACGTCTTTTATAGCGCGGTACCCCAGCCTAGGGCTGGGCTCACCGCGCTGTACATAAAAATTTTATCAAGAGACATAATCATGACATTAAAATAAAGTACATTTATGAAATAAAGAACAGCAATGTATATTCACCCACCCCACCACATAACTTTTACAAGGCAACCCATGGACGGCAGCCAGCAAGATCGTTTATCGGTCAGAGGAGGGGAATCAGTCAGGGTAGTATAATTTAAAAAGATATGTTTTGAGTGCAGTTTTGAAGGCCTGGGTGGTTGGTATATTGCGTATGTTTAGTGGCTAAGAATTCCATTGTTTGGGGGCGCAGAAAGAGAAAGATCGTTCACCATATGTTTTAGTGTGTGTCTTAGGAACGGACAGAATATGCGTGTCTGCAGAGGAGCGAAGCTGTCGAAGGAGTGAATGTACTAAGTATTTTACAGATTGGCCTCTTGAGTCTTATATGATGGATAAAGGTGGATGTGGGTTTTAACTAAAATGTAAAAAAAGTTAGATACAAAGTTTACTTTTTTCTTTCCTGTTTCTTGGAATGGTCAACTTTGTGAACTAAACATCATAATTAATTCCATGGAGCCTGTGTTTAAAAAAAAACCAACATAAGTTTTAAAACTGTATATTCTTTTCAGTTTGAATCAGTTGTGTGTTTGAGCGGTTCCACTATATCTATTCCTGTAGGTTCATGTATTCATCAATGCTGCTGACCCTGAACAGATTGACATGCTGGCCCTGCAGTTGCCGCTCATGCAGGAAAATGGGGCCAATGTTCACCTCAAGTGTAAAGCCCTGCAGTTCCTGGAAGACTACACTTCACGAATAACCAGTGAATCCATCTAAGCCTTTCCGTTTTATAGCAGCGGTAATAATGGTTGTATAGATTTTGGTTCGGTACCAGAATAAGACGGGGAGAACTCATTTTGTTAAATTGGTTGTATAGAAACAACTTTTAAATTACCAGCCTTTTCAGCTTTCATCCCAGGTAAAGTTTCTCATCGAGCAATTGCACCTATTTAATGTTGCTTAAAACATTCAAGGGCAAATTAGCTTGAAAAATCTTTGTGATTTTTATTATATAACTGTTTTTGTAAAGAGAAATGTTTGGCCAAAGTTACTGTATCTTTGTTTAAAAACTGTGTTTGAGAAGTTATCTTGCATGTAGTTTGAATTTACAGCCAGGGTTTTATAGGATTTACTCGTAACATTTTAAAACAGGGTTTAACATAACTTTCATTGAACCTAGTTTTCTTCTCCACTTTTTTATTAATGTACCAGTGCATTTATTATTTTAAAAAGCTCTGTTCACTGTTAGATCTTGTTTTTCTAATCGCTGAACAGATGGAGCATTATGTTGCAGTATCTGCCATGGTGGGCATGAAATTTTTGAGCTGTGTAAATATCTTGAGATATAATAATTTCCAGTAGAGGTTGTGAGCTGGCATACTTAATTATATATTGATTCTAGTAGAGCGTAATTGAAATATTGGTCAAACTTAATGAAATGTTGAATCCTATGGTTTGGGCTCAGCTTAAAATTTCATGTCAGCTTAACTCAGCTTTTTTGGGGGCATTATTAAAGTTAAAGACTATTTTTCTTTAGGCTGCATCTTGAAGTAGGGATGATGGTGTTACCAATGTTTTTTTAAGGAGTTTTCTGGTGATTTTATCAAAAAACATCTTTTTATTGTTTGCATGTTGATGTCTCTGTTATTCCAGACAGCTGACGATGATATTTAATGATTCATAATCTAAGATGACTTATGTAATCTTTTTATTGGATATTAATCATGAATTGTTCCATTTTTTAAAAAATTCATATATTTTTTGTTCGGACATTTGTAACTATTTTCTTATTATTTGTATCCATGTTACAATAAAATTGTTTATATGACAATATTTATCTCTGTTTTATTGTATGAGTTAATGAGCCTCAATTTCAGTAGATACGATCAGTAGGTGTAATATCAGTAGTGACTCATTACTCATATCAGTAGATATGTTTAGTAGTGACTCATTATGCATATCAGTAGATATGTTCAGTACATATATTAGTAGTGACTCATTGTACATGTCAGTAAATATGTTCAGTACATGTATCAGTAGTGACTCAGTTTTAAAGTATCAGTAGCTACTCTATACTACATATTAATAAAGGGAATCGGTACTTGAAGTAGCAATTTTATTCGTATAAGTATAATGTCATTAGCAACTAGCTGCTGGTTCTCTCGCAGGAAAATGAAAATATTGATTCCAAATGGTGTAAATTTAGAGATACTATCTACTTCACTGCTATAGAAATAGAAAACCTTCAACCAAAAAACAAAACAACTGCAGAAATAAAATAAAGATTGGTTTGATGAAAATGAGATCGTCACTACTAAACGATAAACATGAGATCGTCACTACTAAACGATAAACATGAGATCGTCACTACTAAACGATAAACATGAGATCGTCACTACTAAACGATAAACATGAGATCGTCACTACTAAACGATAAACATGAGATCGTCACTACTAAACGATAAACATGAGATCGTCACTACTAAACGATAAACATGAGACTGTGGTCCATAAACTTCTTTCCCATCCTTAACAAAGATGGAGCTCAGCTTCTGACAGACGAGGCATAACACTTTTGTCAAGTCTTAAACTCCGGCTGCTACAAACGAAATTGCCATTACTCGTTTACCACAAGTGGAGATTAACCAAGAGCTATGATAATAATAGACAAGAGTCCACATAAAGTCGGGAGGCCACACAACTCTCCTAAAATAAAACCCCAGGACAAAGTGCAATCCCTGTTGAAATCTATAAAGAAGGAGGCCCCGTCCTGACAAAAAGACTGACAAAGCTACTTGAGACCATATGGAACGATGGTACTGTCCCTCAGCGATTCAAGGATGCAACTCTAATACGCGTATGTAAGTATTATAAGGGAAAGGGAAGTCGCCAAACCTGTAACAACTATCGAGGCATTTCTCTCCTTTCCATAGATGTAATTGATTTCATAATTCACTAGGGTTCTTTAGAAATTAATTATCTGAGCCTGGTCTCGCGGGCTGGGGGGAGAGAAGCAGTTCACAGATAGTTTTTATTACCAGCCCTGAGGTCACATTCCACGACTGTGTGGTTTTAGCATTGTGATAGAGATATAATTTGTGACACACAATGACACACACATTTAACTAGCTTTCAGTCTTCTATGAAACTAAATATTCTGGTAATTTGGAAATATAAATCCGATTTATGAAAATGTGTATTATAGCTGATTTTTTAGTACATTTTATAATGAGCCTAAATTTACTTAAACTCAAAGTCTTAAATTGCCAAGTTTGAAATAGTTTTAAGAATTTTTATATTGATAGTTCATAATATTTTATTTCAAGATTTACAGGAGTTTCTTGCTTTAAAAAAACAACAAAAAAAAAAGTGTACGCTACCGAATTAAAAAAAAATTCCTATAATTGGAAATGTAGAAAAGTTTAAGAGTCGGCCATTGATTGATTAATAGTTTTGTTCAATAAAAATATGATTCTCTTGCCTTTGCTTTTGAACTTTGAGTTTGAACGTCGAAAAGCTACTCGCAAAACTCAAGAATGCTATGGAGAGTGTGAGCAAACATCTTATTTGCTACATGCTCATTCGGGGAAAAAAACAACAAAGCCATTCGACGTAGGTGGTATTAAAATACAATTCTGCGGCTTGATTTTTCTGTTATTTTTCTTGACATAGCAAATAACTCATCACACAATTCTTTTACAATAAGGACGACTGGATCTTCTTTTCAGATGCTGAAGGTAATTGAAGAAGCTCCATGCATTCTTCGAATACTTCATGTTTAATAAATTTCTCTAAATTTTTTAATGTCATACAAAGTTGCAAAGATTGAAAATAACTAAACCTGAGATAACTGTAAAAAGCGATCTTTAGCTGAAAAAACAAAACAACTTCCGTTCGTGACTAAGTTCAAAGTGATCCAGTAAGTGAAGCGTAGTCACCAAAAGAGAACGAATGTACTGTAAATTGTGCATGTTTGGTAGGGCATTACTGTCACAGCATCATCTCTATACTGTCACCCCATCAACTCTATACTGTCACAGCATCATCTCTATACTGTCACCCGATCAACTCTATACTGTCAAGGCATCAACTCTATACTGTCAAAACAATCAACTCTATACTGTCAAGGCATCAACTCTATACTGTCAAAACAATCAACTCTATACTGTCAAGGCATCAACTCTATACTGTCAAAACAATCAACTCTATACTGTCAAACCATCAACTCTATACTGTCAAAACAATCAACTCTATACTGTCAAACCATCAACTCTATACAGTCACACCATCATCTCTATACTGTCACGGCATCAACTCTATACTGTCACACCATCAACTCTATACTGTCACTGCATCAACTCTATACAGTCACACCATCAACTCTATACTGTCACACCATCAACTCTATACTGTCACACCATCAACTCTATACTGTCACACCACCAACTCTATACTGTCATGGCATCAACTATATAATGTCACGGCATCAACTCTATACTGTCACACCACCAACTCTATACTGTCATGGCATCAACTATATACTGTCACACCATCAACTCTATACTGTCAAACCATCAACTCTATACTGTCACACCACAAATTCTATACTGTCATGGCATCAACTGTATACTGTCACGGCATCAACTCTATTCTGTCAAACCATCAACTATATACAGTCACAGCATCAACTCTATACTGTCGCGACATCAACTCTATACTGTTACACCATCAACTCTATACTGTCACACCATCAACTCTATACTTTTCCTATAACGTGTAGCAAATAATAGTTGAACGTGGATCATTTTGAAATAGTCTAATAATACAATCTAGTGATGTGGATTCAGACCCCCAAAAAGTACTTATAAATTTGAAAGTGACAGTTTAAACCATCATTAAACCATCATTAAACCATCATTAAACCATCATTAAACCATCATTAAACCATCATTAAAAATCATTAAACCATCATTAAAAATCATTAAACCATCATTAAACCATCATTAAACCATCATTAAACCATCATTAAACATCATTAAACCATCATTTACCATCATTAAACCATCATTAAACATCATTAAACCATCATTAAACCATCATTAAACCATCATTAAACCATCATTAAAAAATCATTAAACCATCATTAAACCATCATTAAACCATCATTAAACCATCATTAAAAAATCATTAAACCATCATTAAACCATCATTAAACCATCATTAAACCATCATTAAACCATCATTAAACCATCATCAAACCATCATTAAACCATCATTAAACCATCATTAAACCATCATTAAACCATCATTAAACCATCATTAAAAAATCATTAAACCATCATTAAACCATCATTAAACCATCATTAAACCACATTAAACCATCATTAACTACCAAAATTAATGAATGTGCAATACATCAATTGCATGGAAGAAAAATGCTCAAAGATTTAACTCTCTAACTATTATTTTGACTCTCCAATTTACATTCATCTCATGGTCTCTCCATCATCGTAATCCTGTCCTCTCATATTATTTAGACAAATGCCTGAATCTGAAAGTTCTTGAAATAGAATATCCATACCCCCCTCTGTCGATGTTTCAAGTTCTATGAGTCCAATGAAGTGTTCCTCGATAGAAACTTGAACTCCTCAGTGACGTCATTCGTTGAAAATATTTGAGGAATAAAATAAGAATGGGAAACATCTAAGGAAGAACACCTCATGTTGTAATCAGCATATCTTGAATTTGAGCTCGGTGGTCTTATGTTCTTCCGAATAGCTGCTTCATTAGAATCTAAGTGACTTGACCTTGACCTTTGTGATTTGTGGTCACTGTTAAAACTGCATTCTTGACTATTCTGTTTTGTCAAGAATGTTAAAAATAGACACTTTCTGTGATTCTATGAAATAATTTTTAGCATTTCTTTTCTTCCTACTCTCTACTGCAGATAAGCGTGCACGCATTCCTGCTTTACCCTTGCTCACAGTTGAGCGTGGAAAGTGGCGGTCCGGGCGGACATTTAAAAAAAAAATTATAAATTAGTGGAGGCATCTACAGTTTTTTTTTTCGTTGAAGGGGGCGGCAAAAGGCTTTGCCCGCCATTACTTGCTCATGATGGGTAACAATTGTAAAACAATTTATTCTACTAAACTAAGCACATTATTGGGAAAGCGGGAGGCATATGAAATTTTTAAATAACAAAATAAATAATAATTTTAAAAAATAATTAAAAATAAATATTTTATTTTAAATTAAAAAATAATTTTAAAAAATCAGCCCTTTGAAAAATGCCCCCCTAGGCAGCCACCTATGTCGTCTATACCTAAGGCCGGCACTGTTTAAGACTTGTGTTGTAGCCCTCACATTTTCTTTTCTTATATAGGCTACTTGTTACGTTTGGAGATACCAAAGGCACAAGTACATTCAGGATCAAATCAATTGCCCTCCAAGCCCGCCCCCCCCCAAACCAAAAACTATTTGATCCCTTGTTGTGGGGCCCCTAGTAGGCGTGGGACCCCAAGGCACGTGCCTTATTTGTTTTTAGGTTAAGCCAGCACTGGTTTGATCATTCATCATGTTTTATTTACATTACAAGATGTCTGTGTCCAAACGTGCACTGATAAAAATCAAAGTACCATGCAGGTCCAACAACCCTACACTTCAAATCTCATGAATTTCGTCAGCTGTGTACAATCTGGTTGTATACCATAAAAAACAATATTTGAAGAAAAAAAAAGGGAGTCTGAACTAAAATAGTTAAACTGAACTTAGGCCCACTATTTATTTACTAGGGTTTTTTTAAAAACGGACCCCTTACGCCACCT